CCGGTTGCTGGAAGCCGATATTTTCCCGGTTCATGTTTCCCAGCCGTGATTCACTCGAAACCCACGGCTGAGCGCGGGTGAGGACCTATTAGTACCCTACAGCCGTCACTCTGGACGTCTTACGAAAATTAGGTTTATTAGGTTTTTGCGAAAATTCGGATAAGAATGCCGGGAGAACCCGTCGCGAAATTCCGAGGAAACTTTGGGATTGTTCGTGGGTGGTCTCGAGTGGCGTCACTGATCTATCACTATATCAGCGCCCGGCAACCTTCAGGTAGGCGGGAGCCAGCAATTAGCCAACCATTGTGTGCGAATATGTCCCAGTGGTGACGATATTTTCGTCAGCCACGTCAAATCTGAAAAATGACAATGTGCCACTGTCAATGTAAGAATATATTCCTGGAAATTCCATTGCAGATTTTCATATTAGATTTTGAGATTTGCTAATTTTGCACCGTTAAAACGAAAAGTGAATTTTTTTTATTCATAACATGAGGAAATAAATATGATCATTATTTCTGCGGTGAAGCGTACCTTTTAACTTGTAATTTCGGTGGAAGGATAGTATCTGGTACTAGAAATTTGTCCAAAATAATTAGAAATTTGAAATACAAAAACAAGAATATATTTTTAATTAATTTTCTGGACTTGGCCAGCATTATGGACTGTTGTTCAATGGAAATCGGGAGACTGATATGATAGTGCATCGTACTATATATCTGATACTGTGGTAGATGAATTAAATAAATAATGTGTAATTCAGTTTTTGCTTCCGAATGAAAGCATTGCAATCGTTCGATTTTTCTATTCGCTACTTTTGGCTGGAAATGGCGTAGAATGGTTTGAAACGCAAAGATACCAAGTTTGAGGGCCATATGTGTATATGCAGATCATCAACTGGGGGTCAACTTTTACAAAAGAAGAAGAATAGCCGGGTAAATTAATGCCCAAAAATCTGAAATCGTGTCAGTTCATAGGTCCTAATATGGACTTGATCTGTGTTAGATTGTAGACCGATTGGTCTCATTCGTAACTGCTAAGGCTTTCCCAGCTCTTTTCTCATCGTCAGCCCTTAAAATCCTTATCAGAGTTATATTCCTTTTCTCAACAACAACTATTTATCCACCGATTGTTTGCTTTATTTGGTAACATTATGACTCCAACTTAAAATTTCGAATAATTGTTCTATTTTATTTATTGAATTGCTGGATTGATGCCATAACGATTTAGGCAACGCGACGCATCCGTTCTTTTTGAAAAGTGTTCGGGTGACTCTAGTGTTCATTTTCTTCCTTGAGAAAAATACCTGGATTTTCACGTCAATAGAATAATTCTCGACTTCGAATTACTGATGTACTATTAATCACTCGTTTTCCAAATCAATAATAGGATTGGTGATTACCAACTAAGTTCTCCTCTACTGTAAGAAGCAGTTAACTTTTCAACATGTAGTTAAATGTACCGAATAAATCTTCAACTTTAAATGTCAGCATTCTATATAATCTTTTCATAATTGGTCGTCCCGCTCATATTGTTGACTGAGAATTTGATGACAGCGAGAAAAAAATGACCACTTCTTTCAAATGTGGAAAAATTATCCAGATATCATGAATATTATTATATTTTCTCCTTGCCAAAAAAAAATTTTTCATTATAATCAGCGCGAATTGAACTGAATTGGTAAATGTATTTCCCAGTTACGTTAAAAAAAAACCAAGAATATTCATTTCCTTTCAGCTTTTCCTATGTACATCCCATATCAAGAACTACCCTAAAAGTTCTAACGACTCATTTCCTACAGTTTTTGATGACTTTGACTTTTTGTTATTACTTAGACGGTCCTGATATATCAGGATTTGTAATCAGCCTCTCGGCCATTTTGCACCCTGCTTAGCGCATCCGTCTAGTCGATGGTGTCGATGATCTGTGCCCTGCGAGCAAACTCGTAGAGCCCATTGATCCCGTCCCTATCGACGTTTAGTTCTTACATGCATGTGGTCCGGAGGATTTCCCATCGGATTTCGTCTAGACCACTGCATCTTAGAATGAGGTGTTCAGGATCTTCCTCTGTCAACCCATATCTCGTGCATAGGGGATCATTTCCTTTGCCTATTGTTGCTAGGTAGGAGGCGAGAGACCAGTGACGGGTAATAAGTCCCACCAGCGAGCGGAGCTTATCTCTGCTCAGGCTCAGTAGCATCTCTGGCAGCTTTTTCGTGGGTATTTTTAAGACGGTTCTTGTGTGTCTGGCCCCCAGTTCTGAGTTCCATCTCCCAACAACTTCCTCCCCACCGCCTCCTCTCCACACGTTTCTGAATTAGATCCTTTATGTAGTCGGTGTGTGGGCCTACGTAGTCTCGTGCCTCCGGTGGAACACTCCGACAGCCCTTTCTTGCTAGTTCATCTGCCTTTATGTTGCCAGTGATGCCAGTGATATCATGATGACCTTGTTGGTCTGCATAGCGATGGATTCCTTCTAGCTGAGCTTCCTGTCGAGCCAGATACTTAGGTCTCTGACATCTCCTGAAAAGCTCAGCTCTGTTTTTGATGATTTATATTTCTTGGAAATTTACCTAGAAACTTTTCAACTACTCTGGGTAACCATGCTTCTCCCCCTCCACTGACAACTGCGCTGAGCATGCACACTTGATACATCTTTAGATCCTCAACTACTATTCGGAAGCGCCGATTGACTTTCAAATCGACTTACTAGGAGAATACACGATACTCTATCCGGTTATATAAAGATCAGTGAGGGGCGTTCATACCACCGTGGCCGAACGGTGCTGTGAAAATCCCGTTTCCGAAAAACGGAGATATTGCGGTCCCCAGACGTGGCGGAGATCCCCAATTTTGGGAGAGTGCTTGCGAATTCCCTTCGATGGTAGATTTCGTCCGATACTGGTCGGATGAGCTGTTCGAGCCTAGCAAAATTAGAACCGTCAAAAGAGTATTCTCGCGCTCACCGTGGATATTGGGCGTAGTGCTATCTCTTTCACACCCTAACTCTACCTCTCGCATTCTCTCTCAGGAGTCCTTCAGACCCTCGCTGAGGTTTTTTTCTATGCAATTTCTTTCACAGTTAATTATTTTTGGGGGTAATTCCTTACTGTGTCGCTAACCTGTTAGTCTTCCAGTATTATTCTGTCGTTCTCTATTTATGCGGGGGAGAAGGTGCCGAGCATCGCGAAGTGCCTCGTGGAATTTAACAGGGCTTTTCTCCGTTTTTTAGGAAAGTTTCTACCGTTTCGGCATATAGAATGCCCACCATTAACCTCGGTTAACTGTAAAAGTTTGGTCGAATCATTTGCGACATTAGGCAATCTTGAAAGGAGTCTGGTGAACTTTCGCCACCGCTTCTTTTAGTAGTAAAATCAAAGGATTATGAAGAGCATTCATAGAGTATTATTCTTTTCTTTTTGAGAACATTTTACCCCTTCTCCCCGAATCCACCCCTCTCTCTACAACCTGGCATACTGAGCAGCGCAGGCACCCGTAACCTCTCGCTGAACCTCTTCGCTGAACTAGGTTTAAGTACGTTTTAGAGTTCCGTGTCTTGTTTTACTTTAAATTTAAAGTTCAAGTTGCTGAATCTTCAAAGTAAGAAAATTAGCTGGCGTCAGCCAACCTTTTTAGTTTTTCTCCGTCCCCATTTCCGTGTTCTCGTCCCACCCTTCATTTTGATAAACAAGAGCCGACTGATGAGATTTCACAAAGATATTTACTCGTGGGCTAAAATATTAATCTTATGGGATCAATGAAATTATATACAAATACATGCGTACCCAATTTTTATTCAATAATAGTGGTATACTGTGACTCTGAGTGTATTAGCAACGCCGATAGAGGCACAGGGAGCTTTTAGCTATTGGTGGGTGAATTGAATTGAGCGACGAGGCTGATATTAAAGATCACGGCGTGCGGCAATAACGTAAAGCAGCGATGCTTGGATCCTTCTTTATCACTTCTAGCAAGTTGTCCCAAGCTCCATCCGCGGTGTCCTTGGTAATGGTTTTAATGATGTGTTTCGAGAGGAATGCAATTTCTTGGCTTGTCAGTGCATTCATATGCTGAGGTTCGCAATATTTTTTCGGAGCTTTCTTAAGAGACTCTGCATTGTACTTACTAAACCATTTTTTCAAGCGTTGTGCATATTCATGAGTGCAATGCTACTGGATAGAACTTCCATGAAAGAGACTATCGTAGTAGAGACACTTAAAAGCACTCTCAGTTTCTAGAGGCTCCATATCACGGTTGCCAAAGCCATTCAAATCTTCAATTAATAGTCAATTCTTGAGAATTTATTGCAGCCACTTCTTTTTCTCTACACTGAGAAAAAAATTTTCTTTAGCCAAGAATATTTACTAACCACAAGAAAATATATTTGGCATTAGTAAGTCTTATGGGAGTATTTACACAGTGATCCCCAGATTTACTAGTAGGAAAAAAATATTCTTGGCAAAAATAATTTTTTTTCTCAGTGTACGCCTTGGGCGTAAATGTGTGAAACATTTTTCACAATTATATTGGCAAATTCACTTAATCCCTTATATTTGATATCTCGAGGCATGTCACAATGCAGCTGATGGTGTAGACGTAACACTTTGAAACCCTCAATTTCAATGACAACTGCCATAGTGCAAGAGTGACTGTGGATATTTATCTTCTAGTAAGCAACTACTACTGAACAGCTTGGTTGGATGGTATGAGCATCTCCAGAATGTCGGAGGGAGTGAGGAATGCTATCATGCATTATCATGTTTTCATAACGTTAGTTTTTAATTTTTTTTTTCGTTTCAAAAATAAAGATATTTTACTTTATAATGTATCGAGAAAGCAGAAACCGTCGAAAATATTACAAATGATTCTTTCGATGGATTTCTTCGTAAACACGTTTTCGTACAACTAAACTGTCTGGCCAGTTCCGGATTCTTAATATTAATACAATAGTCACTAAGATGAATTGGTGATGACATTTTTAGAGATTTTCAATTTTGCAGCTGCATGATGACAGATAAAAAATATGGCTGATGAAGGCAGGGGAGAAGCGATTTTAACACATGATTAAATGAGTCTTTTTATTTCCGAGGCAATGATGCCCGCGGTCGCGCGCTCTACCACGAAGTGAGCGCTGTAGCGCACAATAACGTCCTCATCGTCGTAGAAATGATCACCATTCATTGCCAATCTCTTTTATGATAAAGGATCTTGGGCTCAGTACAGAGCGCATTTTTAATCCGTTTGTTCAGTGTATGAGTTTTCTACTACTGTGATGTCTGTTGACAAATCAAGCACTACTGATACGCTTTATATTTATTGAGTCATTACAATTCGTCAATTTATTCGAAAATCAGAAACTACAGAGAGAATGAAGCGAGATTTGGCATTAAGTACAATTGAGTCAATCAAGTCGTCAGATGGAAAGTCTGATATTGGAAGTTCCATAAGAAATTGGTGATCCAACACTTGAAGAGAAAAAGATGATAAATATCTAGGACTCTCCAAAGAGTCTAGAACCAGAATCTCAAGAGAGTCCAGCACCTGAAGAGGCTGGAATAGTCGCCTCTCGTGCAACTCTAGAATCTGAATCTCCAGAGAGTTCAGTACCAGAGGAGACTGGGATTACGAAAATTGCAGACTCTCCTGCAAGTCCTGAACCTCAATCTACAGAAGGTCTACCACCTGAGAAGAAAGGGATGGCGAAAATTGTATATTCTCCATCGGGTCCTGAGCCAACGTCTCCAGAACATCCGCCATCCGAGCAGAAGAGGATTGGAAAAATGGCAGACCCTTCATCGAGTCCTGAGCCAGAGTCTCCAGAGAGTCCAGCACCTAAAGATAAAGGAATTACAAAAATTTTCAACTCTCCAGCAAGTCCAGAACGAGAGAGGCTAGCGGTCAATGCTCCAAACTCATCAGTAGACAACTCTACGGTGGTAGATTCTGATGCAATGGAGATACATACAGCTGACTCTCTCGAGTATCTAGCGATAATGCCTGAGGCTACATCAGAGGTTGCACCAATGATCCCAGTGAATGCTGAGACTGTACCACCTAATTCAGCGGAGGGTACAGGGCCATTTCTTGGAGTGAGTGAAGCTGTTTATTCACCAGTTGATGATTCAAATAATGATGTGAAACATGTCTAAATTTTCGTACCTGGAGAATGGGAAGGTGTGATGACAAAAAGGCCTATGGAGAAGAATCTGAGAGAAATCATTAATCGCCATTACAAAGTTGGTGGAACTGTCGTCACCATGGGAGATTTTCGAGCTAAGCGGATTTTCTGTCCTCATGGGAATGTTTACTTCCGTCCAATGGGATCTTCTGAACATACTAAGCGATTACCCACCAACATTGAAATCTACCCAGAGGTAAATTTATAATAAAAAATTTCATTTGATCCCATCAATCGGTTGAATCAATGATTATGTTCTTTCATTTACCATCTGCTTCAATTATAGCCTCTGCGGGGATTACTTTAAAGAAACTGGCCTCTGACGTGATAGTGCAACAACAAAACATATTATTGCTTATGCTCCGTTATTTTTTTTATTCATAATATTAAAACGCTCAATTTGAAGAGTTGAAAAGCACTATTATAATCATATATGCTTATCAAACTTTATAATATTATTCCGTAGAAATATTCATACATATATTGAATAAATAATATTCTTTGAACGTTAAGTTTCTTTCAATGCGTCATTCTTCACTATTCACCAGATGTGAACGTTGGAGTTTACATACCGGACGTCTCGAGTGCGAGCAAGAGACAACTGTTGAAATTTAAATGCCGGACGTTTAGAATGAGAACAAGAGACAACTGTTGGAAACTCAGGCGCTTGAGAGAGAGATAGAGAAAGAGTGCGGATATCTGCTGCGACTGAGCCGCGATGTCCTACCACAGCTCTTCTTCAGTGCATCCCACAAAATTAGAGGAACAAGTAAGTGTCTCATGTCAAAAGTGAATTGACAAGTGATTTTAATGTTTCCAATTCAATAATGGTTTCGTTTATTTGATGTTTTAGTGAAACTTGAAAGCTATGTTTTCCCAGACCCTGATCGGAGGCAGCCATTGGAAGAGGATGATGGGCAAATGGATGAGTAGTGGTTGGGGGAAACAGACAAGCCTGCTCAGCACATACCCAGATATTATACAGTAATATGTCATCTACAGGTATCCATAAACTTAGTAGTTACGTTTATGGCAGATTTCGGTAATCACTATTTCACCTGCAAGATAAATTATTTATAATTTCCTCTTGCAACTCACACATTTCTTTTCATATTTTCTGTTCATAGAAATCATAGCTCCACCAGTACATGAGGGAGTTTCTCAACTTCCTGTAGCTGGTGAGCAGAGAGAAGGAGGCTCTGGAGATGTTGTCTCACGCGCAAGACATCACAGCAGCCGTCGTGATGATTCTAGATGCCCCGAACAAGTGAAGTAAGAATAATTCATTTTTCCTTTCTCTATACTCTATTATTTAGATGCATTATTTCTAAGTCAACATTTAAAAAAATGATATATATAAGTTTTTCTTATTTGTATTTAAAATAACGTTTCCACCTTTTATTGTTATCATTGGTAATTAGAGGTATAAGTTTGAAAAATATATGAAAATAAAAAAAGTTCAATTGCCAGTTTTAGCCATTTATTTCACAACCATCAATTTTTCAGGTTATTTTGATATACAGATTTACAGTTTGTGGGTTTTCCACCTTGCTAAAGAGGCATGGGTTGAACACTCCTTTCAGGAAGGTAATTCTCAGATGTTTGGCAGCAGCCGCCTCGCTGTATTTCTCCAGCTTGGATGGATCCTGTTGGAAGACGTTAAACAATCGTTGATACACGATGCACTCATCGTTCAGAGCGACAAGCACTTTGGCGCCAAATATAGTCGAGATCAGCTTCAAATCAGTGACTAAAAATGTCTGGTTGAGTGACAGCTCCGTTTGACGTTTGGTTGACAAGAAATCCCCTCGAATTGCAATTTTGTCGATGTTATTGAGATCGAGGGCCTCATTGTGCCTCTTGATTTTGTCCACTTTGTCTTTCAATGTTAGTAGAATTTCATAACACTTGTAGGATGGAGACTGAGTGATCACTTAAGCGACGGACATCGGACACTTATAGGTTTTTTCGCAAGTGAAAAGGGTATGCACTCATCGCCACTACTGTTAACTTAAACATAATTCTGAGAAACGCGGGCAATTAGCATCCTACGGCTAAATTTTTTGTCGAAACGTAGCGATTTTCATAGTTCTGAAAAATGGATGAATGAATCGATCCATTAGAAAAATTCTTCATAGAAACTCAACCGTTTGCAATTTCTAGGAATTTAGGGGAGGCTGCAATGAATCGAAACAACTGAAATTTTATGACTCATTAAAACACTAACAAACCATGATATGAATTGATCTGAATTTTTCGGGGTTTTTTTAGTCTCACTTCAAGCTGGAATGTAGCAGCATTGTGCGCTATTCCAGAATAATTGAAATTTTCCAGCAATGGATTAATGGATGTGCTTTATTAAATTAAATTACGGTATTTGTTTCATACTTGAGTTTTGAGAAGACGGAGCCATCTATCAGTTGGTGAAAAACATAAAATCCTCTCTACAATTGCCAGGATTCGAGGATATTAAGAGAGATTTAGAAATAGAGAACATCGAAATGTTCGTGTGCTGGTGCCATCACATAGCAGAGAAGAAGACGTACTTTCAGATCGTGTACGCTGAAGAAATGGACCATCAGCTTTTCATAGTCGTGTTCACACGGACATTGTAGTCAATCCCCAACATAAGGATCCAACTCCTTTTCTCAATGATGCAAGAACACCTATCAACAGTGCATATAAGAAGTGTTCTGGAATTAAAAGGCAATATCAAAGCAAATACTATTTTAGCTTGCAAATTTACATAGGAAAAGGATGAAGTGGTTAGTCCTGAAATTAAATATTTCACTACGGAGAATGTAATCATTCTACCAGCTACAGATCTGCCAACATGGTTTGATGAAAATGTGAGTAAGTTATTACTTACGAAAATCGGTGATTTCCAAGAACGTGATTCGAGCTGGGGTTTGCGTGAAAAGATTAATTTGATGATTAATATGAGCCGATATGTTCCATTGAAGGCTGGATCTTAAATGTAGATCGAGCTACACTATGAATATTGATTTCCCTATTTGCTGACCTCAGCAATCATTGGATTGCATATAGAAAGAAGAATCATGAAGTCATCTGTTTATGGCAATTTGCGCTCACCTCAAGAGTTTATTAATTATTTCGGTGGTGCTAGTGTTGTGAAATATAATGCTAAAAATGATCAAGACGACGATCATCTGTGGACATGTATGTTTGAAATTTCTCGCTGATAAATTGATATAAAGCTGCAGAAAAGTTGATAGTTATATCAGTTTAGCGTCGACTATCATTTCATTTACTTTGATCCTGTCGGGCCGATCTTGTATATTAGAGGCATACTATTTTCCACCCATTGAATTATCACCATATAATGATGTAGTGTGATGCTTGTCGAATTTCGCACTTACAAGTCAATTTCTAATATTGACGAAGGATATAATAAATTTGACATGGAAAACGACGGATTTTTGATACAATTGACTGTTATGCCCCAGATTTTGGTTAATTGGGTTATTGTTAAATATTTGGACATCCAGCCTTGTCAGCGTGACACTTGCCAGCATAACTGGATTATGCTGACCAAGTAATGACACCCAAATAGTTATATATTGAAGAGACCGTTTGAGTATGCAGAAGGCAGATCCAAATCGGGCTCTGGCATGTGTTAGTCGTAATCTTTGTAATCAGTCAGATGACATAATTATGACATAATTAAGTAATAAACTCTCATGTTAAAATATCTATAAACTATTGGTGGGCTTTATCCCTTCAAGCCTAGAACCTACAATAAATATAAGTACCCCCACGCAGGGTACAACATGACCATACCAACAGAAAGCTATGAAATTACTGATACTGAAAATTTTTGAAACATCATGTATCAGTGCATGAAATTCCTTTCAGATTATGGGCTAATGATTAGACGCCCACGACGATGATTGAAGCACCCAAGGATCTAGTGATAAATTTTATTTCATTGTATTCCATTGGATAACGGCTTGGTTTTCAAAGATAAGTTCTGGCATATTCAACAGTCTACGAATCCGCTGCGCCTTCAACTATTATTCATGTGAACTCTCTACGGATTGAGTGTAAAATAACTGCAGAAGCCTACATTAATAATGGACGTGTGCAGACAATTCACGAATTCTTCCCAAGCATTCCACTTGGATATAAGATCAATGAAACACGTACCCAGGTCATTTACATGCCAATCATTGTGCAGTCAATAGACCATCTACAATTGCAAACTGTCTATCTAGACGATCGCCCTGTGAATTTTCTCGGTGAAGTCATTGCAATACGGCTTCATATAATAGCTCATTGAATAATGTGGATGGTGTTTGAGGCGAAAGTTCGTCGCAGTTATAGAAGTGAGGACTCATGCTGGCAAGCAAATAGTTGTCGAGTACAACTGACGAAGCTCACATCGCAAAACATCAAGTTCCTGAAAATTCTGGGTTTGAAAATTCGTCTGCTGCTACTGCTATCTACCGTGGAAGAGATCTTGAACATTCACAAACAGATAATCTTTGATGAGTCCAATGCTCGTGATGAAATTTATTCGCACCAAGCATTTGCATTATCTTCCTTCAGTAACAATGATGAAATCCGTATTTCCATACAACACCAGGATCTCTATGTACTTCCAAGCAAGAGTGCATTGTACATTTGTGGTCGATTGACAAAAGCTAAGAATACACTAGTTCCAAACACGCAGCTTATGAATAATGCCATCTGCCATTTATCCCAGGAAATACGTTATGAATTTAATCTTGTGGAATTTGATGGGTGTGAAAGTGTTTGCTGGGCAACATTCATGAAAAATTACATCTTTCAGAAGCCTAGCCAGAAATATATCATGAAGAATGTAGGTTGGAAGATTGACATCAAAAACAAAATAACTAATGAGGCAGGATATTTTAATGCATCCACTCCCCTACATATGATTTGAAAATTCGTTGAAGATTATCAGAGAATTATTGCGAATGCAAAGCATGAGCTAATGCTAACACATTTACACAGTGATTTTAATGCTAAATCCAAGACCCTGATGGACCGTAGGCTGAAAATCTTAAAATCTCTATAACCAAGATTGATTGGCTGCTGCCCCACATTCAATCTGCTGATACTCGAAAAGTGCAACATCTCAATAAGATTTCAAAAGACATTGTAGTGCCGGTCAGTTTTCCCTTTTGGGAATCGTGTGAGTATCCTCTGCTACCAAACACAACAAAGCATGTCTGGGCTGTGAAATGTTCAACGCAATTGAAGATAACACGTTACGTCATCCTCGGCTACTAAATCGTTAGGCAAAATCAGGCTGGGAAAGATGCAAGTGCATTGGATCATTGTACTATTCGAGAACTCAAATTATTCGTGAATTGGCAAAGTTGTCCCTATCGAAATCTGAATTTGGACATTACACATAACCAATCCGATCTTTTCTGTAATATGTACACCAGCTTATTATGATGAAGAGCCTCAGCCAGTATTGAGCAGAGCTGTCTTTTTGAAAACTGCATCACTGATCGTCATCGATTACACCAAGCAGCACGAGTTCTTGAAATCTGGTCCTGTGGATATCTATCTGGAGTTTGAATCAGCAGAGATCTTCCCCCAACACCGCAGCCTACTGCTTAATCTTAGACGATCGAATCGTTGAATACAGCTTATTCGCCGGCAGCGCTAAGAAACTAATTTGGAAAACTAAATGTAATCATTTAGCTGAATCAAAAAATACACAAAAATCATTTGTAAAAAAAATCTTTTTATTTCACATCAACAGCATCATGACCAAGCGACGAGTCAGTACTTATAGTTAAAATAAATCAAATCGAGAGAAGACGGAAATTGACAGGTATTTGGAAAGTCGGAAAATCCCACATTCATCCGAAAATGTCCTGGAAAAGATATCAAAATGTATCATTTGGATTCTAACCGGAAGACACTTAAATAAATTAAAAACTGTTATTTTGTATGTGGGAATGCCAAGAAAATGAACTGCATCAGCTCAGCTCATTCCACTGAAAATACAAAAATATCGGCATGTAGCGAGCCAATTTTTCTATCGGTTTCTACCAAAAAAAAATACGCGAATGTAAATAATTGCTATGAAAAAAAATACTGAAGTATTTTAACCTCAACAAGTTGAGATCTTACGGTCGGCTCCTTTTCTGCGTACGCAGCTCCATCCGCAAATGCGCGACGCGCATTGGGTTTAAATGTATGCTCTACGCTGTATATTCAAACGCCTACACAATACATGATGTATTCAATACATCGTGAAATAACTATGTATTTTGTCATACTTAATTACTTTGTTGGTTAATTGCCATCTCGATTTCTCAATTACCAAGACTGATCAATAATTCTTCCTTCCACCAGGTGTTTCTGCTGGGCATTATACAGCATACACAAAAAATCCACGTACTGATTGCTGGCA